AATACACAAATACATGCACATTAAGCAACATGCTGTGAATGACTTTGGACTTAACACAAAAATCAAGGCAGAAATAAAAATACTCCTGGAAAAAAATGAAAACCAAGACACAACATATTGAAATCTCTAGAATATCATGAAAGCACTGCTGACAAAGAAAAATGTAACATTACACACACATAGCCAACATCACATCTAAGAAGAGTGGAAAAGCAAGAACAATGATTTCTACATTTAGTGGGAAAATTGAAATTACTGAAATGAAGGCACAATTGAATAAAACAGAATCAAGAAAATTACAAAGACTTAACAGGGCACAAAGCTGGTTGCTTCAAAGGATAAATAAGGTTGAGAGGCCGCCTGGCCAGACAGACCAAAAATCAATCAATCAGTGAATCAATAAAAAAAAAAGAAAGAATGGAGATGTCACAAGTGACCCTGAAAAACCTCTAACGTTTGTCAGAGATAATTACCATCATCTTAAGCAAACACACTAGAAAATCTAGGAGAAATCGAGGAATTTCTGGCATCGCATAACCACCCGAGGTTGAAACAGGAAGATCTGACCCTCTACACAGACCAATAAAAACTCAACAAGGCAACTCAGTTCTAAAATACCTGCCCACCAACAAAAGTGCTTAGCCGGATGGTTTCTCAGTCATGTAAGGAAGAGCTGATACCAATCCCATCAAAAGTATTCCAGGCAATGAAGAAGGAAAGACTTCTTCCTAGCTCATTCTATGAAGCTACTGTCATCCTGATACCTGGGCAATGAATTCATGGCTGCGTTCTCGGAGCAAATGCAGCAAAAAACTGAAATTGACAAGTGGGACCTTATCAAGCTCAAAAATATTTCCACAGAAAATGTAACCATCAAGAGAATAAACAGACAAGTCACAGAATGGGACAAAATGTTTGCAAGGTATGTATTCAACAAAGCCCTAACCACCAGAATGTATGAGAAACTCAAAAAAAAGAAAAAACTGACTGGGGGGGGGGGGGAAAAACCATTAAAACGTGGGCAAATGACATGTACAGACACTTGTCAAAAGAAGACATAAAGCAGGCAACAAACATGGAGATTCCTCGCCTTCCTCCTCAGAGGAATCTAGGACAATAGAGAACGGTCAGCACCCTGGCACTTGGTGACTAGAAAACAGTAAGGATGCATTACTTGATATGGTATATGCAGGTGGTTGATTAAAAACACATGGACTTTTCCGATCCTAGGGCATCCTCCTGAGTAGATGACAGATGGGGAAGCAGAGGTGCAAATTATAAATAACGCAGACAGTTTTTTTTACCTTGTGGCTAAAGTCCACCTAATGTACCAACAAGCAGTCTGCAAAAGGTCTTCAACTATTCACCATGATTCAGCAACATAGTTTTCTCATGCCTTTTGCCTGGCTTATGGTGCATCTGAATTTACCTCTTCACATCTTTTAAGATCATGCTTGCTGCTATGCACTTGTCTGTTTTATGAGATTTACACTTGTTTTAAGCTATGTTTCATTTTCACTGGGCTAGTGGGTGTACAGTATACACTAGGCAGTCGGCAGTTAGACTGTTCATCACGCAGAGAGATTGGGAACCAGTGCTGATTGTCCTTAGTCCAGACATTTCAGCAAGTTGCCAAAGAGGATGGACAGCACTACCACAGTGACAGAGGGGCTCTTCCGCCTCCCAATTTCCACAGAAGGCTCACAAGTTGGGGTCAGAATTCAGTCCAGCTGGCAAAGAACACTGCAGCAGAAAGTCACTTTGAGTTCTGAGCACTGCCTATCAGGAGAAATGGAGCTGGAGGCAGTGGGGTGAAGGCCATCCTGTTGTTCCTTCTCTCCCCAAGGGAACTCTTTTGGGCAGCAGAAAAGACTCTAGGGCAGGTAGAGCCAGAAGAACAGCAGGACCCACAGTGGTCAGGTGCCCTCACAGACTAGAACCCCCCAGGGGAAGAAGAAGTTCAACACATCAGGGGAGCACCCTGTAGGATATAGATTTAAAACAAAAATAAAAAACAATTCTCACAAAATGTCACCCCAACAGTAGCAAATGTATCCTACTAAAAGACAACAAAACAAAACAAAGCAAAACAAATAATAATAAGAGAAGAATAATCCTCCCAGATGAGGAAGAAGCAGCAAAAAACAAAAACACCAACAGTTCCCAAAGCCTTAAAGAGACATCACCCATGGCTGGGCATGGTGGCTCAGCCTGTAATTCCAGCACGTTGGGAGGTCATGGTGAGAGGACTGCCTGAGCCCGTGGGTTTGAGACCAGCCTGGGCAACTTGGCAAGATCTTATCTCTACAATAAATCCGCCCCTCCAAAAAAAATTAGCCAGGCATGGTAGCATGCATCTGTAGTTCCAGCTACTTGGAAGGACAACGTGGAAGGATCGCCTAAGCCCAGCAGGTTGAGATTGAGGCTCCGGTGACCATTAGTGTGCCACTGCACTCCAGCCTGGGCAACAGCGTGAGACTTCAAGTAAAAAAAACAAACACAAAAAACAAAAAAGAGAGCCATCACCCACAGAAGGTTCTCCCAGATCCCAAGCAAAGGAAACAATTCACAATGTGACCTCGTGTTGATGACAGACACAGAAGTCACACCATGGATGGCAAAAAGAGTCAAGGAAAACCATGAGGACATGAACACACATATTCACCCAGGCACCAAAAGCAGTGCAGGAGATTAAAAGTTGTGCTGGCCAATATCAGAAAGGTCCAATCTGAGATCCTGGCAATGAGGAATTCCTTCCCGGAATTTCAAAGCACAATGACAGGTCTAAGCAGCAGAATTGACCACTCAGAGAAAAGAATCTCTGAGCTGGGGGATCAAAATGTTGTACTAACCTGCTCTGACAAAAACCAAGAGAAATAGCTCAAGAAGAATGAGAAAACCTATGAGAGGTTTTGGATTATATAGAGACCAAATCTATGGCTGTTAGATGGCATCCCTGAGACAGAAGGAGAAACTGAGAACACCCTGTAACAAGTTTTCCTAGAGGTCATCCAATAAAATTTCCCCTGTCTCACTGAGGCATCCAAATACAAGGGATCCAGAGAACATCTGCAAGGTATTACATGAGAAGACCATCCGAAGGACACATAGTAATCTGTCTCCACAAGGTGAGCATTAAAGGAAAACCCTAAATACAACTAGTGATAGGACAGACCACCCACTGGAGAAGACCCATCAGAATTGCAGCAGACTATTCAGCAGAAACCCTATAAGCCAGAAGGGACTGGGGCCCCATCTTTAATGTTCTTAAAGAAAAGCAATTTTGGCCAAGAATTTTCTGCCCTAAATTCATTTTCATCAATGAAGGAGGATTATAATCCTTCCCAGACATCCAAACCCTAAGGGAATATGCCACCTCCAGACCAGACCCTTAGAAGATGCTTAATAACATTCTAAGCGCTGAAACAAAAACAAACAAAAAAAGGTCTCACCCAACACAAAAGCATAGGAAGTCATACAGACCATACAGATCAATCACGAAACCTAAAAAGAGAACGCAAAGCAGCCTCTTTAGAGCATCGTGGCAGGAATAAATCCTCACCTATCAATAGTTAACTTGAATGTGGAAGCACTAAACATGTCACTCAAAAGGCAGAGTAGCAAATATGATCCAACATTCTGCTACCTCCAGGAAACCCATCTCACTGCAAGGGACACACACAGGCTCAGAGTATGGGGCTGCAGAAAGATCTTCCAGGCAAATGGAAAACAAAGAAGAGCAGCGGTATCTATTCTTATGTCAAAACAGACTTCAAGCCAACGAAAGTTTGAAAGGATACTGAAGGGCAAATATATTTGCACCCAACACAAAAAGCACCCAGATTTACAAAACAATTGCAA